TACCAAGATGTTAATATCAGTCCAATTTCCTAGGAATGTAAGAAATGCCATGTTGGGTCCAATCGACTCATTTTGTTTCTCAGAGTGGCAGCAAGGGACCAATCTGGGGAAGATGTAGAGCCCAATCTCTTTGATGCTAGTCTCAGAAAGGTAGCAGAGTCCTTCAAGCATTTCTGATTTTCTTCCTTCTGACTGATAACATATTTCGAGTGTATGGAATAACAGAATAAATAAAACATCTCCCAGCTTTATCAGAGCTTAACATGATTGTAGTTCCTTCAGATATACTTTTTTCAATTTTAAAATAAAATATGGATGCTACTGATGCTCTCAGTTACCACTCCTTCCCCTGGTAACCACTGTCCCGAGCTTCACGTTGATCCATGCCATGTGTGTTTTCTTAGCTTAAACAATTGTCAATCTTCCACCTACTATCTTCTCCTAAGAACCTGAACTATTTACAGGTACAGGCATAACCTGAATAATTTCTTCAGTTCTGGAAAAAGCAAATTGAAAAGTAAGATAAACATTCATCTTTCCACGCCATGTTTCCTCCGGGGATGATAATCTTCGTCTTACCCACCCAACTTGAGTGGGATGACAATACTCATTTACACGATGTGAAAGAATGTTCTCCGGAAAAAGATAAAGTGTTATCCACATGCAGCGTTCTAGCACTTTTATTGATGAATTCCTTATGTGTCTTCTTACTCTGTTTCACATGTCCTCAGACAAAGCTGAGGGAGTGGCTCTTAGACACACTGAACAAGTGCTTTTCTCTCCAACTCGATTTCATAAAGTTTGAATACAGCCCTTCTTGGCCTTTGTCTTTCCACACAAAGCGGCGAAATTGTTTTATTCTTTCCCAATTGGAAAAAAAGTCTTTTTCTAGAATTTTCATAATTGTTCTTTAAGGCTGTTATATCTTTCTGGAGACACAGTAGCCAAAATTGCCTGCGGCATTACAGGTGCAAAAAGTTCTGCCTTAGGTGAAGATTTATTAAAGCACTTCGCAAACAAAATTATATTTAAGGAAAAAACAAAATCAAACCCACACATATCAAAACCATAATGAGATGCCACTTCATGCCCATTAGGATGGCTACTGTTAACAAAACAAAACATAAAATAACAAGTGTTGGCACGGATGTGGAGAAATTATAACCTTTGCCCATAGTCAGAGGGAATGTAACATGGTGCGGTTATTATAGAGAACAGTAAAGTGATTCCTCAAAAAATGAAAAATAAAATTATCGTATGATTCAACAACTCTACTTCTGGTAACAGATCCAAAAGAGTGAAAGCCAGGTCTTGACGGGCTAGATGTAGTCCTGTGTTCATAGCAGCGTTATTCACAACAGACAAAGGAGTAAGCAACTCAAATTTCCAACAGTAGATGAGTGGTGAACAAAATGTGGTACATATATACAATGAAATATTAAATATTCAGTCTTTTGAAAAAGGACATTCTGACACGTGTTATAACATAGATGAAACTTGAGGACAATATGCTTAGTGAAATTAGCCAGTCAAAAAAAGACAAATATGCTTCCACTTATATGAGATCCCTAGAGTAGTAAATTCATAGAGACAGAAAGTAGAATGGTGATAGCCAGGGGCTGAGGGAAGGGAAATGGAGGATCATATAACGGTATAGAGTTTTAGTTTTGTAAGATGAAAAGAGTTCTACAGATTGGTTACAAAACAATGTGAATGAACTTAATAGTACTGAACTGTATACTTAAAAATGTCTACGATGGTAAAACAACAACCACAACAACATACAACCAAAATCTAGAGCAATCACGTTCAAGAAGGATTAAGAGCGCATTACAAAGAATGGGCAAAAGTCTCCATCAAGCAGTAACTACTACCAACAGCACCAGTTTACTGCTGAGAAAAGAGGTTTTCTCTGATTTTTTTTACCCACAGTTCACTGTGGTTCATAGTCATCTTGTCTTGCCAATGAGAAAATGAGGCCCGTCTTACACTTCTGTTATCTCTCTTTGAAAACCTAGAACATTACTACACTTTAACAGGATGTTTTTAGGGAGAGTTCAACAAATATTTGTAGCTGGTTCATTAATGGAATGAAAGTGGCTAAATGTGTAGCTGTGGTAACCTAAATATAATGCAGTTCTGGGTTTTACAATTTACTGGCTTACCACAAGCGATATGACTTCTCTAAGCCTCATTTGTCTCGTGTATATATCTCAGAGAGTAATAGTAACTACTTCATAAGTTATTGTGACAGTTAAGTGAGCTAATGCTTAGTATGTTATTGGGCTAGAAAATCAGCCGGGCTTGGTGGCTCAGCCTGTAATCCTGCACCTTTGGGAGGCTGAGGTGAGTGGATTGCCTGAGCCGGCGGGTTCGAGACCCGCCTGGGCAGCGAGACCTCATCTCTACAATAAATCAAAAAATCAGCCGGGCGTGGTAGCGCATGCCTGTAATTCCGGCTACTTGGAAGGCTGAGGCGGAAGGATCGCCGGAGCCCAGCAGGTTGAGGCTGCGGTGGCCGGGAGCGGCCACTGCACTCCAGTCTGGGCGACTGAGTGAGACTCCAACTCAAAAAAGAAAAGAAAAGAAAAGAAAAGAAAACCAAGGCAAGTATGTAGGAAACACCTGGCTTGATTAAGCCTTGTCTACCACCCTTCCTCATTATATCCACCTGCCTCCAACAGAAGCCAATACTTAGTCATTGCTCAGTAAATATTTACTGAATGAATGAATGAACTATAGGACAAAGCTGAAAGCAGAGAGGGGCCATGCTAGGACATGGCCACAGAGCGCAAAGGAAAGTTCCATTGACCCTGCTGGAGGGGAGGATGCTTGAGCATCTCAGGGTAAGGCACCCGAACTGGGTCATGAACAACAGGCAGGGTTTCTCCAGGTGGAGAAAAGGAGAAAGGCAGAGAAAGGATGAGATGTGCAAAGGCATGGAACAGAGGTGAGAGAGATGAAGCCACCAGACACCTTCAGGAAGTGGAAATTGCTTTTATGAAGCACAGAGTGAGAGCAGGGGAAAGGGGATTTATTTGCCTTAGGGACAGGCAGGGTCCTGATGGTTCAGAACACACTTGCTCACAGAGGAGAGGGGCTTAATCCTCTTGGTAGAGGGAAACCACAGAAGGGATTTAAGCAGAACAGTGATCAGAGAGATACCTGAAAGGTAACTTGGGCAACGAAGTGAAGAATGGGCAGGATGGGCCAAGACTGGAAGGACAGGCAAGCCAGGTGACCAATTATTTAGGGGGAAAAATGGGAGCGATGAAGAGGGTCTAAGAGTCTCATCTGTAGTGAAAAGGATGGATGGGAGGGACATTAAGGAAGGTGAGTTCAGGGGCATGTACTTCATTCTACTTGCTCTGCAAGTGAATGAAAACATTTATTATTATTTTTGGAGCCACAGTCTCACTCTGTCACCAAGGCTGGAGTGCAGTGGCACAATCACGGCTCACTGCAACCTCAAACTCCTGTGTCTCAAGTGATCTTCCTGCCTCAGCCTCCCAAATATCTAGGACTACAGACATTTGCCGCCACACCAGGATAATCTTTTGATTTGGGGTGGGGTAGAGACAAGGTCTTGCTATGTTGCCCAAGCTGGTCTTGAACTCCTGACCTCAAGCAATCCTCCCACCTTGGTCTCCTGAAGTGCTAAGGTTACAGGCATGAATCACTGTACCCAGCCTATGAACGAAAACTTCTAAAGTACCACCTCCATACATATTAAAGTCATACACACAAGACCTTTCACTTTGGCATGTCACGGGCAAATCAATACTTTTTTTTTTTAAGTGAGCTGATTCCGTGAATTGACGTCAACAATAGTGACCCTTGCTGGCTTTTAGCACATTTGCCTCCAGCCTTACTCAAAGAGTTAACTTGATGGAATTCCACAGTTTGGTTTCAAACAGGAAATCAAAGTTCCCTTCCATGCAGATCAAGTTCCAGCACGGAGGGTTTTATCCTCAAGAACTTGAGCCATAGGAGCTCTGTAAAGAAGCCTGAGTCTAAAAGACTGCTCACTGTCAAGTTCAGTGTCACAGGTAAGCACAGCTAAGTGATGCCCATGAGTATGAAATCTGGGTCCAGGAAAGAAAATGAGAAGGGGTGGTAACAACAGTAGGGACAAGCTTTTATGGTATGGCCATGTGCTCTTTGAGCTATGGCCAGGCCGTGTTTTCTCAAGCTTTGGCCCTCTCTCCTCCCTTGGGGAGGTGAAACCCCCCTCTCCAATTTACTTTCTAAATAAACTATATTTTCTAATCTAAAAACAACAACAACAACAACAGTAGGGACAAATTTTTCATCAGTCTTAGAGTACACTAGAAAAATTTGGCGCTAGGCTTAGGACAAGACCCTAGCCTGGGTCATTAGAGAAGGTGAGAAATCCAATCAGATGACAGAAGGTAAATTGGAACCACTAGATTTTGGTAAGCTTTCTGAGTGTTCTACAATTAGCCCAGGTGAACTAATTCCAAAAGCATCATCTCTAAGGTGGTGGTAAGTAAACTAGCTACCAAAAGACATATAGAACACTGTAACTTTCAATTACCTACCAATTACTGTAACAAACTATGAATAAGTAATTCATTCTAATAATAATAACCTCTGAAAGTTCCTTAAGTACTAACTGACATTCATATACATTGCATAGAATTGCAGTTACACCCTCAAGCTCTTTGACACAACTTTACCCAAATATTCCTAAGATTTCTTGACCAAGAGTTTCCAAGGTACATGATCAAATTTGTGACTTCTATAGTCTTTGATGCTTACTGTCTTCCTCTGTCTTCCCAGACTGTTTCAAAAGTTTAACATCAGAAAAGTCATGCTATAGCACAAACCGAATGCCTTCCCGGTATAAACTAGGTTTTTGGTTAAAGTATTATGATTAAGTGCAAAACCCCTCAATGTCCACTGTGTTACTGAGCAGGCTGAGGCGCAGGAGATCATTTGAACAAAAGAGATTAAGAATGAAAAATCCAGTGTCTCACCCAGCTCCACATCCTGGTCGTCGGTGAGCACGAGAATAATGTTGGGGCGGATGTTCTTTCGTTCCTGCTGTAACCGTCCTCTGAACCTTGGGGATCTCACAGTCGAACATAGGCTTCTTAGCAGTTCTGTGCCCAGGACAGCCAAAACCAGAGCACAGCAAGAATACTTCATTGTATTTGGTCCAATGTCGCAAAATCGACAAAACGTCTCAGGCTCCTGATTTCTGAAAGTCTGGGCAGTCGGAGAAAAAAAAGGGACAGGGAGAGACTAAAATGAAAACCAAACCTCAAATGCAGTTGCAGAGAAAGAGCTACAGATAAGTCAGAACTGGCACATAATTTGGCAGAGAGAGAACTGCACATGAGTCAGAAGTGGCAAACCCTCACAGGCGTTGGGTAGTTTTTTAAGCACTTGATTATTTTGCAAATTCACTTTTGTCCTTTATTCTTATTCCAACTTTTCCTATTTCAATTCGTTGCCAAAATATAATTTCCAACACAGAGTTCAAACGTAAAAGCTTTCTGACAAGAGCTAATACCTTGAATTAGGTATCCTGGTTGAATAATCAATTTCTATACTGCAGACGGGGTCCTAGAGTGGGCAGAAAAAAAAATACAAAGGAAATATCAGTCAAGGATTTAAAAACAGATTTTTTTGATCTGACGTAGTCTCTTGAAACAGCATATAATGTGTGTATATATTATATATACTTTACCGTCTGTGCTCCCAAAGGGAGGAACAGAAGGAAACAGCATTCAAAACTGCTAACAAATGACTCAGATTATATTGTCATTTCATAATCAGCTCCATAAAGGGGTGGTAAGGGCATCCTTCCTGCTCCCACTCTAACAGAACTTGACACATCCCCAACAGAACTAGTGATTGATGAGGAGGTGCCCGCCGTGCCAGTGAAACCATAGTGCCTTGGGAACGGGTGTTTGCATGTGTGGAGCGGAGGGCACGAGGGGCGTGGGTTGGGGGGGACGTTGACTCACCTGCACTCGATACTGAATACCTAGCAAGCAGAATGAAATGCAAAGCTGTCATGTGTCATCTGCACTATGTCACTCACTACCCGGGAGAGTCCCTTCTGCAGACAAAGACTTCCCAGTGAGTGACTGGGACAACCGTTTCCAGCCTCCAAAAAGCTCCTAACTGTCCCCAATCAATCACCAGGGAAAAAAGACACTTCCTCTGGGCAAGGCTAGTCTCTCTGTCCAGCCCGTGTCCTCAGCTTGTGCCAGTGCCTGAGTGGACAGAGCTCCCTTTCCACCGTCAGACTTACTGTTGTTGGCATCACTGGGGATGGAGCGGCCAGCACGGGGGGTTTTGCTTTGCCGCAGATCTAAACCTGCGAAGCAAAAGGATGGATCGACTCCGAGGCTGGAGATTAGCGGTTCCCTTTCCCCATGAAAAAATAAATAAATACAATCCAGAGGGGCGCGCTGCAAAATCTTTGCAAAGCTGCACAGAAGGAGGCTTTTGAAAGGGTTGGAAAAATGCCCCTCTCGCTCTGGAACACTAACCTGCTGAAAGCTTTTCTCTTGGATGTTTGAAGGATAGCAAAGGGTTCATTAAAAAAAAAAAAAAATCTTTCTCTTGAACGTCATGAGGGAACTTCTTTATGAGAATGTGGACTGCCCTGAAATTAATTAGATGGCAGCCTGCTTCATCGGTCACTCTGTCCCCATAACCTGGGGATCTGTATTTTGATCTGCAACAATGCACTGGCATCGGATAACTAGGCATAACTAACGAAGTGCCTTGCAGAGCAGGGGGAGAGGACTCCATCACTCTACTTCATGCCCTAAATTCTGGAGGGTGACGGGCAGCCAAAGAAGAGAGGCTGTGCACTGTTTACTTCTGCCACACACATTATTTCGTTTCACACAAACACACACATATCCCTATTATTTTAAACTTTATGAGCTGTTTTGTAAACAGTGCTAATGCTTTTCACTCTGCAGCCTGTAATTATAATGCAAGAGAGACAGACAGACAGAGAGAGAGAGAGAGAGAGAGAGAGAGAGAGAGACAAAGAGAGAAAGAAGAGGAGGAGGAGGAGGAGAAAGAGGAAGAAGAAGGAGAAATAGGTTTTTAAATAAAACAAAAATCTGTGTCTGCAGCCAGGCAGTCCTGATTACATTATCTGCAACAAGCAAGCCAGCTCTGTGAAAGTCACTATGTAAGATCTGGGGCTCTTTTCTTAATAACTCAGGGTTATTCCAGTGACTGCTGTGCATACTGGACACTGAAAGCCTGCAATTATTCTGCACTGCCTGTTTGGTTTCTGTGCATTTGTTTTAAATCACGAGGAACCTGATCCGAGCACAAAAGGGCAGGAAATTGAAAAAAATAAAATGTCAAACAATGGCTTGTTCCCACGAAACATGGGGCAGACTAAATGGTTAAATATGGAAATTTCTTAGAGGACTGGTTCTTTAAGTAGCAAACGTTTGCTCACCACTCCAAACCTGCAAAGGTGTGTTTAAGAGAGAGTAAACAGGGCGTCCTTGCATCTACTACAGTGTAAACCACCCTCTGCTGTCAGTAGCAACCTGGAAGAAGCAGGCAAGCCTCCTTGCACTGGGCAAACCATGGCACTGGAGTTTAAGTAATCAGTCACACACGAAACTGAAGGTCCTTAACAATTCAGCTGCCTATAACATTCTCTGGAACCCAATCAACATTGCTAATCATTCTTTTCTTTATCTTGTTTACTTTACTTCTTCCTTTAGGAAAAAGCAAATTAGCTTTAATGGCACCTCTGCATAAGTGACATCAGAAATCATTTCCTAATACAGAAAGGGGAGAGCAGGGTGGATGTGGCTTTTACCGATCAAGTGACCTTCCCGTATGGTGAATAAAAAGTGCAAGAAGCCAGGCTCGGTGGCTCAGCCTGTAATCCCACGCCTTTGGGAGGCTGAGGTGAGTGAATTGCCTGAGCCCGCGGGTTCGAGACCCGCCTGGGCAGCGAGACCTCATCTCTACAATAAATCAAAAAATCAGCCGGGTGTGGTAGTACATGCCTGTAATTCTGGCTACTCAGAAGGCTGAGGCGGAAGGATCGCCGGAGCCCACCAGTCTGGGCGACAGAGTGAGACTCCAGTGTTGAAACATACACAATAAACGATTTTTAAGTATGCTCACCTTGTTGTGCAATTGATGTCAAAGTTTTCCCTCCCGTATAACTGGAACTTTGCATGCACCCTTTGGTTAACTTCTCCCCACTTCCTTGTTCCCACCACACATGGTTTATTATCAATTCAGGGAATTCATTCATAAAAGCATACGAGTTGAATGGTCAAGAAAATGGAACTTTCAGACAGGTCTGGCCAGCAAGAGTTCTCTTTTATCCCAGCTTCCTTCACTAAAACATACAAAACACAACACTCTAGAAAAACTACACAGAGATGGTTCTTTTCTTAAAAACAACTTTTTGAAGCCTGTCATCCTCTCACTGCCTGGTTTTCAGCTCCAGAAGGAAAAAAAATAAAAAAGGGGAAAAAAAAAATCCTGACAAACAATATACAGAACTTAACAGAGGAGGCAAGGATGCAATGCTTGAATTGGATACTTTGTGGTAGGCAACAAGTGTCCTTAGAGACGAACAATTTGTCTTGAGAAATAGTAGGAAATGGAAGAAATGTAGAAAGAGATTTGCTCACACATGGAGAGTGGGCTTGAGAATGGGTGTTGTATTCATCAGTCAAGAGCGGGATACAAGAACACCAGTTGTAGTTATGGTCAGTTGGTGTGGAGACTTTACAGAATTTTGTCTAGGGTAGTTAAGCCAAACTATAACCATGGCATTAAGTGTTTCAAAGCTCATATAAAATTTTTAAAAAATGACTGGAAAGACTTTTAGCCAACTGGATAGAAAGTTTAGTTCACAAATACTTGTCTCACAATACTCCAAACTAAATTGAAGCCCACACCTCCCCTATCAGTTTAAGGGGAACTTTGTCTTCCTCATGTCCCCGCCTGGGCAGCTGGCACTAGATCTCTAAGAGACATGGAGGCCAATATGCCCAATGCATTCTGCTTTTGTCCATAGCAGCAGTTCCCAAAGGGTGGCCTAGGAATTTTGGTAGACCCTGTGATCCTTTTGGAAAGTCCATCAGGTTAGAACTGTTTTTGCGTTTTGTTTTGGTCAGGATCTCACTCTGTTATCCAGGCTGGAGTGCAGTGGTATGATCATGGCTCACTGCAGCCTCGACTTCCTGGGCTCAGGTGATTTTCCTACCTCCGTCTCCTGAGTAGCAGGGACTACAGGCATGTTACACCATGCCTAGCTAATTTTTTTGTTTTGTAGAGCTGATGTCTTGCTATGTTGCCCAGGCTAGTTTGGAACTACCGGGCTCAAGCAATCCTCTCACTTCAGCATCCCAAAGTGCTGGGATTACCAGCATGAGTTACCACACAGGGTCAAGGTCAGAACTATCTCGATAAGAATACTGACACCATCATTTGCTTTTGTTACTGTGTTGGGATTTGTAGTGATAGCATAAGAGGAGTAGGTAGGTAAAACTGCTTTTGTTTTAGTATAAATGAAGTGTCACATATAGTAAAAAAAAATGCCAGCTTCACTCACGATGAAGCAGTAAAATGATTAGTTTATTAAACTTTGACCTTGAGTACACATTTTCTTTTTTTTTTTGAGTTGGAGTCTCACTCTGTCGCCCAGACTGGAGTGCAGTGGCCGCTCCCGGCCATGCAGCCTCGACCTGCTGGGCTCCAGTGATCCTTCCGCCTCAGTCTTCCACGTAGCTAGAACTACAGGCGCGCGCTACCACACCCGGCTAATTTTTTGATTTATTGTAGAGATGAGGTCTCACTAAGTTGCCCAGGTGGGTCTCGAACCTGCGGGCTCAGGCAATTCACTCACCTCAGCCTCCCAAGGTACGGGATTACAGGCTGAGCCACCGAGTCCAGCCACATTTTCTTTTTAATATTCTATTTTTTCACACCTCATCAACAAGGGTACCTGCATAACAAACATTTGTACACCTAACCCTGAGTTGAACCCCACATCTTTAAAATTAAATAACATATATTCTGTTTTTTGAGATGAGAGGTTCACATAAAGTCCCTTGCTGTTTTGGAAGTATGAGAAAAAGCTTTCACCAGGGTGATTGAGTTGCAAGCTAAACTAGCCAGCTCCCCCGCCTCCTGCCATGAGACACTATTTTTACTTCAAATAATTATTCGCACTTAGATATTTGGCAAACATTTTCTCAAATAATGAATGAAATGAGCCTATCATTTCAAGGGATACTACTGACAGTATTTGTTACCAATGACAGAAATCTAGCAAATCAGAATTTTAAAAAACTTGTATATCCTCCATCTGCCAGCTTCACAGTGCGTAAAACTTTTTCTGATGATGTTGGTAGTGATGCTAACAAATGCCATTTTTTGATATTGCAAAATGAAGTGTGTCAATGTTTACGATATTTACATAACTCAGGATGCCAGTTTTTCCCAAGTGACCACAGTGCTACAAAATCATACATGAGTAAAAATATTCATTCAAAGTATAAGATGACCAGTGAATTTTAATTTAAGAGTACAAAAAGTTCATTGATATA